CGCAGCCGGCCAGGAGGGTTCGTCCGCCCGCCGCCGCGCCAGGCATCCCGCCGCTCCGCGCGGATAATAAAACGGGGCCTGTGACTCAGTAAGGCTGCTCCGAAGCAAGGCTCCGCCGGCAGCGTGGGAACCCGAAACGTTCCAGCCAGCTCATTCAGCAGTTGGGCTCTCTTTGCAAAGAGTTCGGTTTGCATTCGGCAAACACGAAAAGAAATCTTTTCCTGGGTCGCCTTCAAGTGCTGAGCTCGAGCACACTCACACAGACCTGCCGCATTTATCCTAGCAAACCCCGCGCGGGGCAGAGGGGAGGCAGCTCTGCGCCTGCAGAGACTCTTCTGCTTTACAGACACTCCATGCACCCGCACCAGTAAATACAGTCTACGTTAATTCACCAATTAGCTTTTCCTCGCCAGAATCTCGTTGCTTACCTGCTGCTTTGCGCTGGCAGTTGTTTTACACCATTCCCCCCCCTTAAATGTAAGTGTTGTTGTTAAACCCACAATTTCCACAGCTTAGCACAGATGCACACCAAATTCAGAACAGCTCAGCCCGATTAATGAATCGTAAAAGATTTTCTACTTCATGTACCTGTCTGTAAAGCTGCACAGAGCTGTACTACAATGACGTATTCAGTATTTTCAATACATGCATCCAGAAATTAAATTTTCTTGTTTTCCTATTGTGCTTTTATTCATGTTAGCACGGATGCACCATCTGTTATTGATATGTAGGACCCCATAAACATGCAGACTGATTCTCCCGGCTTACACAGGATAATCATTTAGCATTGTTTGTATTAAACAGGAACAGGTTGATTTAATCCCCATACTAATGCAGCGAAAACCCTTCATGTTCCTGTACATGAAGGAGGATGCTTTAGACCAAATCGCCTTTAATGGTGCGTTTGATGTTTGTGGCTTGGATGCAGAGAAGTCTAAGCCTGGACTCGACCGCTCTGCAGAAGCGCAGCTGCAACTCCCGCCTCCCAAAGGCGAGCGGACGGTGGGTGCTGATGGGCTTCGTTCAACAGCGGTGCTCTCCG